TGAATGGTAAAGTTTTGTATAAACTGAGTTCCTCTTATCTCTCTGATCTCATATAGCTTTCTCCTTTTTTACCTTCACTGGAAGCTCTGTGACCTAACAGTTCCTCCGAGATGCAAAGTGATCTTCCATTTCAGGAATCTTGGACTTGCTCTTCTCTGATGGAATTCTAATCTCCTAAATAACTTGGTACTGTCTATATTGTTGAATTCAAAGATTGCCTTCTCTTCAGGTCATTTCTGACCAAACCATCTCAAATTTTTACTCTCTTTCTCTGGTTACTTCATATTGTCCTTTGCCACTTTACTTTTTTCTTCTTAGAATGTATTGTAAGTTGGCATCCTATATATTCATCTTACTAATTCTGTGTTATCAACTAGATAAAGACAGGGTTATTGCCTGTTTTGTTCTCTGGAATGCCTACAAAGTGCCTAGGATCTTAATATATATTTATTAAATAGTGAATAAATAAATATGAATGTTACTGTTTTGTTCCTTACCTGCCTTCAGTTTAAAAAGTAGACCATTTTCAGTGCAAATTACAATAGAACTTTCTTTGCAATATGAGTAAATGTAGTAGATTACACTTTTCATGTATGTTTTTATGTGTGCTTCATGGATATCTATGGAGTATTGTATGTATATGGATATATATATGGATAATTCATGGAGTTGAAAGGATAGTATAAAATATTGAATGATTGTGCTTATAATTAGAATACTTTTTCCTTTCTAATTTCAGAATTGGAGTGCAAGTACTTTTGGTCTAAGCCAAGAAGTATTGCTTCCAACTCTTGTTCTATCTTTTCTTTGTAAGCCTCAAGTACCTGGATCTACAAATAAATATGGAACCAATCTTCTTATTGCCTTTGAATAATGTTTGCCTCTAATTACACAAGGAAGCTAGAAGAGAGTGTGGGCTATGGAAAGGATGAATTTTAAAAAATCAATTAGAGGGCCTCCCAGGTGGCACAAGGGGTTACAAAGCTATTCGCAGCCAGTGCAGCATGAGTTCGATCCCTGGCCAGGGAGGTGACCCACATGGTGCAGCATACCTCTCCTGACTCTCCTGCTGCTCCCCTCAGCATTGTATTTCAGTCAGTCTGCCTGTTCTGCTCCCAACTCTGACTCTGGTGAGTCCTCTCCCCCAACCCTTTCTGGCCTGTACCCCAGTTCTTGTATTCATAAATAAATAAATCTTTAAAAAATCAGTTAGGGAAGCTTGACACCTGAGTGTTCATTCACCCTATCTCCAGTTCCCATGGCTCTTGACAATCAATTAGGGACTACGATTAACTCTGAGGATTCACTGCTTTGCCATTCTTGCCTTGAGGTTTCAGGGTTGTCTTAAAAGTGTTCACTAAGGAAAGTGAAGTTAGAGTGAAAAACATTAGCAAAGTTCTTTAAAGGAGGGATTTCTGTCTTCTCATCTTTGCCTTCATCTGTGAAGCTGACTGATGGTCCATAAGCCCCGGGGGATCCTCTGTTGGCAGCTGTTGTTGCTACTTCAAAGGAGAAAAATGGATGTGTGTGGGAGGAATATATTTAGGGCAAACATGTTTTTCCCTCTGACTTTCTACTTAAAATTGAAGAAGTAGGAAAATGTAAATCCAGGATTAAGCTAAAGAAAAGGAAGATGCACGGTGGGGCAACAGAGGTACCCTCAAACAATAAAGGAAAGTTGGGATTTTGCCTGAGTGTAACACTACCCTGCTTAGGTCCTGCAACTGGGAAATGATGCTATTAAACTCAACTTCCTATATAGCTCCTTTTATAATATAGTGCCACACTTGGCTTCTGTTCTGGCATTCACACAGATTCCTCACTACTCTCTCATCTGATACTACAAGACTGCCATCTGTGTGACCATCCATTGCCTCAGTTTCTCCTTGTGTAAATTGGGGATAAGAGAACCTAATTCTGTAGGTATTTGTGAAGATGAAATACATGGATACATATAAAGCATTTATCACAAGACCTGACAAACAAGGAGTTGTCAGTGGACATTGAGCAACATTATTCTGGTGTAAAAAATGGAAGAAAAAAGAGAGGAAATTGTAAGTGGGAAAAAAAATTTCATCAAACTTTGGGGTGAATCGCTAATATAAAAGCTTTTACTTAAGAATTTTGAAAATGCAAAGTATTCATCTTCTAATGTGGTTGGTGCTTAGGGATTGAATGCTAAGAATATTCTAGAATAGGATAGAAAATAACACTAATTCCACAGGCAATCCTTGAATAACAGCCTATGAAAATCTGCCTTTCCGACACTGTTTTAAGATTTCTAAGAACTTTACTTGTTTGAACTTGTTTAATCCTCATACAAATCCAATGAAATCAGTATTGTTACTTAACCAGCTTATAGATCAGGAACTGAGGCACTGAGAGGTTAGTTAAGTCAGCTGAGGTCACACAGGTCATAAATGGCAAGGCAATATTTGAACTCTAATAGTCAAGTATTCTAAGTATGGTTTTAACTATTACACACACATATACACACACACCCTCAAAACATTATAGCAAATATTAATGTCACATTTTATGTTTTTCAAATAATTAGGATTACTTGGGTAAAGCATTATAGTTTAGTCATTGTATGTTCTTGATAGATAAATGTTTAAAGCCGAGCACAGATATTAAAAGTAACATGTCTTCATTTGTTGAGTTTATCTCTGAATGTGACTGAGCAAAGTTCTCACCAGGGAGACATTGACTCGGGTAAGTGTTCAGTACCAGCTTCATTTTCTTTGGAATCTATTTTCAAATTTTTCTAATTCACCCACCTCACTAGGACAAACTAAAGTGTTAAATCATTTCCAAAACTTTGCTGGAAGAAATTGTTTAGGAAGAGAAATTTCAAAGAGGTGGGGAAATTACTGGTGATCAGAAAGGGGACTGTTTTAGTGGTAGCATGAAAGAATAAAATTGGATCTTCAAATGTGCAATTTTCTGAAAAGTTGTTGAAAGTTGTTTCATAAAACCTATCTCCCTCATGTAATTTGAAATGTATGTTTAGCAGGAACCAAAAATGTGGTGGTAATAAATAACCTCAGACATCAAAGCATGAAAGAAGATTACATTTGTAGTCTTTTTCTTTTTTAAATCCACATAAGTGGCAGGAGACCTGCAGTTAATTTTTATGTAATGACATTAGTTATACTCGCAGCTCTGTCCACTCATCAGTACATGTAGTCAAGGTTGTTTTGTGATTTCAAAACTCCAGGCAGACAAAAATGGTTCAATGTAAATGTCTAAAAATCTGGATTTGAAACAATTCATATGTATTTTTTCATTGAATATGTCATGAGAATTATGCAGTTTTATAAAAGGACATCAGGAAAACAATGAAGACTAGGTCATTCAAACAAGTGCCTTTATATGAAACTGTCTAAACTCATTACTTCATTCCCTTATCCTTTTTTGTTTCATTGTAATTAAGAAGTACTAGCCTTTTTTAGATGCCATTTTAAAATAGTTTAGTTTTGTGAGTTCTTTATATATATGTGTGTGTATATATATATGTGAGTGTGTGTGTGTGTGTGTGTGTGTATTAGATATTGGTGATGTGTGATTTGCAAATATCTTCCTCCATTCAGAGTTTGCCTTCTCATTTTGATGGTAGTTTCCTTTGCTGTACAGAAGTTTTTTAGTTTCCTGTATTCCCATTTTTTAAATTTTTGCTTTTGTTTCCCTTGTGAAGTGGGTCACCAAATGCATCTCTGTGGTTGATGTCAAGGAGCAGATCACCTATGTTGCCTTATATGCATTTTTTTAGGTCTTACATGCAAGTTTTTAATTCATTTTGAATTAATTTTTGAATGTGGTGTGAAGTAGTAGTTTAATTTCATTTTCATGTGAAAATCCAGTTTTCCCAACATCATTTATTGGAAAAACTTTCCATGATCCATTGCATTCTCTTGGCTTCTTTATGTGGTGACTCAGTTGCCCATATCTATGTGGTTTTATTTCTGGATCTCAGTTCTGTTTCATTGATATAACAGTTTTAGGACAGCACAAATAAAGTGATGTTGAAACAGCTTTCTTTGTGAATACTTAAAGGAGTACAATGATATAGATATATTAATTAGGCAATGGGTAGATAAAGAAAAAATATATAGAGACAAAGAAGGTCTCTTGCTTTTAAGTAATTGATTTTTTCTCAATATTTTTTTGTTCTCCATGTTTTCCAGCTTAATTATGTGTTACTTTCTGTTGTCGGGGAACTACAAGGAGAAATATGCTATTATTCTCTCATTGACCTTTAAAGGCATTAAACATTTATTAATTGCATTCTTTGGGTCAGGAACTGTACTATACTGAAATTTGCAAGATTAATATACTGTAGCCTCATCTTTTGAGTAATTTATCAATCTTGGAAGGTAGCATAATAGAATCAATTATATACATTTGAGATGCATTGTTCGAATCTTATAAATATAGGGATACATGAAAGTGTAAAGAAGGGGATATTAACATCATGTAGTGAAATGGTCTGGAAAGACTTCATTGGAAAAAGATAGTACTTGTGCTACTTTTAGAAGTTCAGCTCTTAATTCCCAATTTCTGACTCACTTGGGGTAAATGGCAATGTAATTTACAATTGGCAACAAAATAAACTTTCAGTTTTAAGGAATTTGGGCTTTTGCTTCAAATCATAGAGCTTCAGCCCTTCCTTTGTCTGTATGCATCTTTTGTCCTAGTACTTTACCTTTTGACATTTTTTGATTAATAAAATGAAATCATGATATTTACCCAAGCCATAATATAGGGCTACTGCGTGTAAAGAGACTGTGAAAAGGAAATGAACATTATTATGAAAACAGCATTTTCCTTGAGAAGGTAGGAAGACAAACAGAAATATCAGAGCTCTTAAAGGACCTTGCATAATCAAGAAAATAGTATTCAGAATTACATGCATCTGTCAACAAGGGGCCATTTAAATTCTAGAATCTACACATAATCAGAGTCACAAAGTATGTGACAAAAATCTTAATTCCGGCATAAAAACTTCTTATCCAGTCTCTGCACAAAGGTCTGTAGATACATTCTAACCTGAGAGGTGTTAAGATATTTGCCGCTATTACAAGCGGATTGTCATTACAATGCATTTTCCCTCTATGCTTTTTCCTTCTCTCTCTTTCCACCTTTCTTTCTCTTTTCCATTCGTTTTCCTTTCCTAGCTCTGTCTCCTTTCCTTTTTTCCCTCCTTCCTCTCTCTTTTTCACTTTCATCAAGCCTAATTGACTCTTTCTAGGTCTCCTGCACTGAAGTAGTATTGGAATATGGTTTATAAGGACTCCCTATCTGATTCTGATGTATCCCCTATTTGTAATTTTTCTTTTAAAGATTTATTTATGCATACAAGAACTGGGGTACAGAGCAGAGGTGCTGGGGGGTGAGAGGATTCATCAGAGACAGAGCGGGGAACAGAACAGGCAGACTGACTGAAATACACTGCTGAGGGGAGCAGTGGGTGAGTCAGTAGAGGTCTGCTGTGCCATGTGGGTAGCTCATTGGCTGGCTAGGGATTGAACTCATGCTTCAGAGGCTGCGGACAGCTTCACAGTGCTGTGCTTAACCCTTTGTGCCACCAGGGAGGCCCCCCTATTTGTAATTTTTGCCTAAGCTATGTGACTGCAATTTTAGCACAGATAATTACAATGCACTGCACTTCATATTTGGGTGTTTTATTTTGATTCATTTAATACTACTTAAAACAAAGTTAGTTTCCTTGTAACATTCAAGCATGCATGCTTAGACTATAATTTACCTCTTACTGCTATTCATAAGGTTTCAACAAGTTATTGGGTATAAAACTGGGGACAGTTATACCTACTGTTCAATAATGGTGGCATATCATTCATTTGAACCTCATTAATAGCCTTCTAGGATTTATTCATAATTATGTCAGTTATAAAAATAAATTTCCTCTCATGTTTTTCCTTTCAACAATGTGTTTATTAATTTCTATCAAAATAGATATATGTTAGTTAACATTTTTATGTAAAATTACATTTAGAATTATTTGAGAAACAAGACTTAATTTGTGGTAAATCATTTATGCATGGAACAGTGATTTATTGATTATATTCTATAAGGTAGATACTGAATGCTGGAGAACAAAGATTAATAAAATTCATTCAAGATCTCATATTCTAGTGAGGCACTGGCAGAAACAATGGAGAATAAACCTGTAACAATTTTAATGTAATATTTTATGTAGTATATACAAAATACAGTGGGACATAAACAGGTTAGCAATTAATTCTTTGTGGATGGCAAGAAAAAACTTCAGGGGACAGAGGATTTATTTGGACTTAGTAGAATTTTCTAAATAAATCAGGAAGGAAAGGACATTCTGCCCTGTGGACAACTTATGAAAATGTATAATGGAGGTCTGAGAGATGACGTGTTATTTAGAGAGCTCTAAGTAGCATACAGTGGGGCCAGTGAAGAGAGCATGATAAAGAGGGGGAAGGGTTCTAGATGTATCAGAGACCAGCAGGTATGTGACATGTCAGGGAGATTAGCTTGCAGGGAAGGGGGTGATACCATTCTTGCTTGTGATTAAGAGGACGACCATTCAGGAAAGATGCAAAAAATACTAAGGTGGTGAATGATACTGGAAAAACAATTAGGAGCTATCTTGGTATGCTGATAGTGTTACAGGGCAAACCCCTCTAAAATGGGTTGCCTGACTGTGGGTCCTCACCCATGCACTTAAAAGGGACTTACACTGCAGGTACACACAAAAGGTTAACAAAGGTTTATTTATAAGGGAAAGAGAAATGAGGAAATGTACAACTCAGGGAGAAAAGAGGGAGATAAAATCTTAAATGTGTCCTACCCATTCTGCCAACCTGGAATCCCGTCACCTGCTGAGACCAAACCTGCCTGGCCAAGAGCATGAGCCAATTGAGCCCTGACCCCACTATTATGGCTGGTTTTATTTACAAACAGAGAAAATGGCTGCTTAACTCCACCCTTAGGTCCTCGCAACTTCCCTTTGAGGATCATGGGATTGGTAGTTCCCAGTGTCTTGATGGAGTGGGGGTGGCATCCACAAAGCCTGTGTGGAATTCGCTCAGGACATCCTTTCCCCCTAACAATAGGAATTAGGAGAAAGCTAGATAAAGGATAAGACATGGGCTAGACATTCTACACAGAACTTCATAATTATTAGATGTGGAGGTAAGAAAGAATCCAAGAGTGACCTTTAAATTTAACAAAACACAATATTATAGAAAAAGTGCTTGAGAACCTGCTTCGTAAACATTCTTAAACATTAAGGTACATATGAATCATTGGGGGATCTTGTTAAAATGTAAATTTAACTTGAGAATTGAGGGCAGAGCTTGAGATCCTGCATTTTTGCCAAGTACCTAGATGAAACATGAGTGGCCTATAGACCATACTTGATTAGAAGTGTCCACCAAAGTCAACTTAGAGAGGGTAAAACTAAGTGAAGGCCCATGTGTTTGGACAAGATGGAGGAGGCACAAACAAACCAAGGAAAGAAAAAACAATGAGCATTGTAAGGAAAGTGAGAATGAGGATTCCCAAACACATCCATGTTTCTTACGAAGAAAGGTGTTCACACCACCAGGAGACAATTGTTAACAGACAACAGACTTTTAAAATTAATCCATGTGTAGGGTAAATGGTTTTCCAGGCTTTTCTGCCCTCCCACCACTAGGATTGCCCTGCCTGATGGGGCACCTGCAGTTGTTATATTGTTGCAAATTGTCTTGTTCACTTCTGTGGGCCATGGGGGGAGTATTTGAGATAGTCAACAAGAGAAGAGAAGCAGGAGAAGAAAGAGAGGAGAGAGGCAGGAGAGAGAAGGGGAGATAGAAGCCAGAGTAGCCCAGAGTGAAGACTTGCCGGGGGCTTAGAGGCCTGTTGGCTGTGTACCTGTTTGCCATATTACATGTACAGCTCAATAAAAGCCTGAGAAAGCCACTGAGGGCTCCAGGACTCTCCTTTACCCATCTGCTGGATCAGAAAACCTGCTCTGAGCCCATCCTGCCTCTACATCACATTAAATGGGTCCTAAAATTTCTTAGAAGTTTAAAAAAGTTCTAGTTGAAATTTTGCATTGTGAAATATCAACACAAAACAAATTATCTTTTAATTGTGAGATTATATTTGCAGCTGTGCATTAATTCAGCACGAACAAAGAATAGGTGAAGTGTGTATGTATTTATGTGATTATTTTTAAAACTGATCGTTGGGTTTCATAGCACAATCCTAAAGAAATGTGCTTTTCCCAAACTTTAAGGACTGCCTTAAATTTTTCAGAACCTCTCTTTATCCCTCTTATTCCTTTGATATTACCATTATTGTCTTTTGAAGAGCCCATTCCATAATTTCTCTCCAATTGTTGGAGTATAAACCTGCCAGCTCCTCTTTAAAAACCCCTTTGCACTTGAAAGAACAGTTCTTTTATAACTCTTCCAGCAATTTCATGAACTTAGGTGTCTTGCAAGATTTTGACTACTTTCCATTATATTTGCATTGAGAGCAATAGATGAAATATCCAAAATCTCAAGGTGGCTCAACATGGATACCACTGTTAGGATATTTTAGGGGATTCATTAAGTAGGTGTTCAAATTCGTGGATCTTTCTGAGTTTTGATAGCTATAGCTGCCTTACTCCGCTTCATGACAGCAGGATTTGGTGAACGCATACTTAGATAACTCAGACTTGACTAAAGACTTAGAACAGATGGTCCCCATGTACTTTGATTTTTGGGATGAAGGTAGAAAAGGGAAAAGAGGATGATGTTTTTACATAACTTTCTTATTTTAGGGAAGCAACCTATTATCTATATCCTGGACAATTGGTGCATTATGTTTCAGCAGCTGTGAAAAATTCCAAACGTGTTAGTTTGCTGTGATTACAAACTTATCTGTCAAGAAAAGGATAATCAGGAAATATCTGGAGTTCTGGATAACATTTGCAGTTGCCAGTGTTAGTCTAATGAACACTCCAAAGAACTCCAAAAGTCCCATGAACACAGTGGGTCAAAGGTAGGTACAAGAAAAACCAAAGATCTGAAAAGTTGACAGCTGAATGAAAACAAAATATAATGCTGTGATGGTGAGTTTGGAGGTAGAATACTTGGATTGTAGTTGTAATTTTCCATTTTAAAGTTAGGAGAATGGCATGCCTCAGTTTCCTTTTCAGCTCTAATTCTCTGATTCTGTGTGCTTAGTGGTAAGAGCATTGACTTTGAAATCCTAAGGATCTGGGCGGAGACCCAGTTCTGTCACTTACTATGTGATTCTGAGTAAGTCCTTCCCCAACCTAATTTTAATAACCTTTAAATTAATGATTATGTTATCTACCGATGAAGTTCATTTGATAAAGAATGCTAAGGACATACATATAATCCAGAAATTTTGGGCTTACTCATTTGTCACATCAAGAGAGATTGCATATCAGAGGAACCATGTTGCATTACACCAAGCACAGGAAGAGGCCAGGTTAAAAATAGAACTTAGGGAAAGGATGGAGTTTAGACATTATTTAAGTGGTACAGAATTTTGATAATGCCAAAAAAAGAGTCAGACTCTAAAGTAAAGGAGTTAACATCAGGCTGGAGTTGAGAAATGGACTCTGGGTTCTGTTCCCTTAAGAACTATACAGTTAAGACAAATGTTGAACATTCTGTCCAAAAACCATTATCTGAAGTTTTGCAGCTGCCCTAAAAAATGGAAACTGCTTCTCAGTGTCAGTGTGACTCAAATTCTCCAGATAAGCGTGGACTATTTCATTGTTAAGTGATCTGATTTCAAATAGCTAAGTTTCTGATAGTCTGTGATTTCAGAGAACAGAGAATCTTGGCACTACATCCTTCAGTGAAATGACAAAAAAGCAATGTGTCCGGGTTGATCTCTTAGGCTGGCATTAATAAAATTAGACAAATATATGAAGTGCCAAATACCTTTACTGTAAGCAGTTACTACTTTACTGTTAGTTTTGCTAGTACTTGCATTTGCTTAAATGTACTTTCACAAATGGACCTTCCCATAATAAAGTTGATTGTTGAGCTAAAGTATCTAGTCTTTAGTCATCAAAAAGCAAAATTTTGAAAACCTAACCAGCTAGTAAAGGTATGTAATTCATTGTCTTAACCTTAGGAATCCTATATTTTTGACAGGGGTCTGGATGCTGCATGCACCTGTTGTCCTTTGAAAATACAGACTTTCTGGCCACACTTCACCAGAAATACCATTCAAAGGTCTAGAAGTGGAACAATATATTTGATACTTTACAAAAAGCTCCTGATTTTTTTAATGCCATGTTTGAATTTATTTCTTTTTTTTTTTTTTTTTTTTTTTTTTTTAAAATTTTTTTTTTTTTTTTTAAATTTTTTTTTTTTTTTTTTTTTTTTTTTTTTATATAGACGCATGTTTTACTTATTTATTTATTTGTTTGTTTTGTTTATACATGCACTGGGTACAGTCAGAAGCGCGGGAGGGTGAGAGAATTCACCAGAGCCAGAGCGGGGAGCAGAGCAGGCAGAAGGACCGAAGTACACTGCTGAGGGGAGCAGCGGGCTGCAGGAGAGGTCTGCGCGCCATGTGGGACCCTCCTCCAGTGAATTTATTTCTGATAGAAGAATGCAGCTTAAGTCACATAAGAAGGCAGAGGAAAATCAATATTACCTAAACACCTAGTTCTGTTCCTACTCTCCCCCTCTCACACTCATGCATTCAAGTACATATGGCCAACTACAAAGATATGCATAAGGAAAGTGCCTGGTAATGCTGCTCTTATCACAAAATTTATTCCAGTAAGATGACTGTGTTGTACAGTGTCCTAGCCAGAACTTTACTGGTAGGTTATAAAATTGAGCCAATCAAAAGCTCCTGATTTTTGAGGTGCAGTCAAATTACAGAAACACTGATATAATGAAACAAGCATGGGGAAGCATCATCGTAATATACATGCTATTCCCAGATGGTTAGGAACAAAAGTTTAATCATATAATAATATAACTCAAAGGTCATCATATCCAGATTTAAGTCAATATTGAAATGCACTTTGTAACATCCTTGAAACATTGATTTTTTTCAACTCAGATATTTTCAGTGTTAGTAAAATCAATCCTATGCAATTAGATGCTTTGATAGTGAACATTTTCAATCACAAGTCCCTGTTATACTCATTTAATGTTTGCTGTCCTATTTGTGCTTCTGATGTATCAACCAAGAAGTCTACTTTTGTTACCTAATGGCTCTTTAATATAAAGCTCCCTAGACTTGTCTTTTTCCAAAAAGAATATGCCTAGAAGTTTTTACTCTTCATCTGATGGCATATCTACTGGACCTCTGCCTTTCTGGGTCTTCTTATCTGACACTGGTCCATATTACTATTATCTTTACAATGTACACTCTGAAATACTCTGGGTTGTTTTGATCAACCTAGATCAGAGAAAAGTAAAAGAGTTTATTAAACAAATGAACATTATCACAACTTAAATATATTATTTTTTCCTTAAGGAATGACAATTCTAACTGACAAAACCCCCCACATTTTCCACTCTAATCCAACAAATGGTATTTCTTAAAGTCAAGTTGCAGAGAACATGGTAATTTTGCATTTTTGATTATATATATATTTATATATATACAATATATATATATAAAACAACCCAAAATCATAAGTACAAAATATATAAAATCATATGAAGTTCAATACACACACACACACACACACCCCTCTCACTGATGAATTCGGTTAAAATTTTCTCATCAGTCCACAGTATAATATATTGTATTTTTAAATCTCACTGAAGAGTCATATGTCAAGGTTTCTCAAATAATGTTGACATCTACAGAGAATTTTGGAATCTAACATTTTGAATCTCTAATCAAGTTGCTGCTTCAGAAGCGTATGGAGACTCAGCAAGAACAGCTGAGACATAACTCAGGCCTCTTCTCTTACTTTAAGACTTTGAATTTTAAGTTCAAACTCAGTTCTGTCCCCTATTAACCTCCTAATAAACTCAAACTTATTGAATTATTTCATACATAATTAGTTAATTGGGCAATTATTTCTCTATAATGTGAATTCATTCACCTTTTCCCACAAATCATTAATATTTTGCACGAAAAATAGCAGATGAAATCAGGAAACTGCAGAGCTATATAGTATTTTACACAATGATTCTTCACCTAATGTCATTTTTCCTGACTTCTTGTGACATGTACTTTATCTCCTTTGCATTGATTCTCCCCATGAGCCTCTTGTCTCTGTAACTCAAAAATCTCAATAGATCCCTCCAACCCTTCCATCTGGCTACCTTCAAAATTTCTTGAAAGTTAAAATCCTACATTTCCTGACATGTTTCCTTATTATTAGAATCTAAGCTATTTTAAAACTGACACAGTTATATTATTTTTGTTAGTTCTCTAACAAATTATATAGGGTTGAAAGACCTGATAGAACTCATTTTCCTATAACCCTTCTTGATTTGTAGTGCTGGACTTCTGTGAAAAAATGATATTTTCCTTAAGAATGTATATTTTACATTTTATTTGCAGGGTGATACATACTGCTTCAGCCAGAACTGGCTGAGGAATGTGGTTTTGGGGGGCTTTGGGGGCTGGGGGCTTTTGAATCTCACTATAGCTCTTCCAGCTTGCACATTTGCAGTCCCCCTCAACGTGAGTGCTAATAAGATGAAGTGATTGTGATAAATTGATGACTCGATTGATGAAATTTTTCTTTTCCAGGAATTGTAAGAAACTCATATTACCACATACAGAGTTTGGTCATAAAAACAATTTCTCAGGATTCATGCATTTCTGTCACCATCTCAGTGACTTCCTGCTAACCTGTTCTACTCAGTCTTATTTAACATGATCTTGTTTTCTGGTCCCAGATCTCCAAAGTTGATTAGTATTTCTGTCTCCTTAGTTTCTGGAACCGTTTTTCCATTGACTTTCTGTGTGGTTTCTTCTTGTTTATTCCATTTTCCCTGCTCCAATTCTAAACCTTTGGAGCCTTCTTCCACAGGCTGATTTCTCAGCAGTGTCTCTGGTTGGAGCAGGCGACATAAGCCAATCTTAAGAGGAGGTTGATGTAGAAAGACACCATCATGGGGGCATCTAATGATATTTTCAATTTAGGGAGCTTACTTTCAAAGTCACTATTACTTCCCACTATATCTGTACCTTTTCAGTCTTTATATCTGCCAAAGCAAATCTATTTACTAGAACATGCCCAATGTGGAATTTAATCGATGCTGCAGAGCCCTAGGCCTTTGCATCTTCTTTTATAAGATTTTTTAAATGTAATTTTATATTCTGGTCAATCCTCCAAGATTTTGATAGTATTCTATATGTGAAAGGATATGATTATAGAAGGTAAAAGGCATATTAATTTTTTGAGAGCAGTGACAGGTCGTTCAGTAGGGTTTTGTTATAATAGTACCATGTATCAACTTCTTACTCAGAAACCATTAGTATCTATTCTGGCATATCTAATAGCCCATAAAATAGCAGTCTGCACAAATCCTGGGAGACAAAAGCCATGGTGCCTGTAGTTCGGGGCTAGTAGCACTCAAATTGACTCAGAATCGGCAAGTTCAAGGACTACTAGGTTAAAGCTATGCCACTCTGAAACATTTCACTCTACTAGATTTTCTCTTAAAAAGAAAATTAAAAAGGTTTTATTAAAGTCTTTAAGAGTTCATAAAACATTTCTAGTTGGTGGAATGTTTATTTGGTGAAAATCTTTATCAGAGATATATAATATGTAGCTCAGCTGTTTACAATTCCATATGTATATTAAAGGGAAAAAGACAATCGTATTTCATCAGCTGGAAGAATCTATCAAAGTCCAGAAGAGTAATGACCATTCATATGTATATTTAAAGTATAGTAATATGAAATAAAATGTCTGTAATTCCAAGAAAATGGTTTCATCATCCAACTATATTTTAGGAAACACCATTCATGTTTGGCAAATACAAATGAATATAATACAATTATTTCTACTTTAAAAATGTAATTTCTCTTGGAAGAAAAAAGCACAGTACTTTTTTCTTTTATCTTAGTAAAATCATTGATTTGCCTTAAAATGTATTTTTTTTTAAGATTTATTTATTCATTTATACAAGCACTGGGTACAGTCAGAAGCGTGGGAGAGTGAGAGAATTCACCAGAGCCAGAACGGGGAACAGAACAGGCAGACTGATGAAATACACTGCTGAGGGGAGCAGCGGGAGCAGCAGGAGAGGTCTGCTGCACAATGTGAGACCCTCGCGGGCCAGCCGGGATCGAACTGGCGCTGCAGGCTGTGGATGGCTTCACAGTGCGGCACTCAACTGCCTGTGCCACCAGGGGAGGCCCTTAAAATGTATTTTTGTGCTGGCATTAAATTGAGTATTATTTCTTTGTTATATTCTGGTTTTTTTTTTAAAGATTTATTTTTTTTTATTTATACAAGAGCTGGGGTACAGGCCAGATGTGTGGGAGTGTGAGAGGATTCACCAGAGACAGAGTGGGAAAGAGAGCAGACAGACTGATGAAATACTGTTGAGGGGAGCAGCGGGTGAGACAGGAGAGGTCTGCCTCGCCATGTGGGTTGCTCTGAGGCCGATGGGGATGGAACTGGCACTGTAGAGGCTATGGACAGCTTCACAGTTCTGCGCTTAACCACCTGCACCACCAGGGAGGCCCCTATTCTGTTTCTATTTTAGCACATAAAATACTTTCAATGTCATTATTCAAATACTGTAATTTGTGTGTTGAGTCAATATATAATGCAATTTTAAAATACATAATATGATGTCCTTTTGCTCACAGTGATTAGTACCTTAATTTAAATGTTTAACTTCATAAAATTATGTTTGTTAAATATTATAGTATACTAGCAATGCAACCTGCACTTTGAAATCTGGCTAATATAATTTTTTAAGAAAGCTATAAAATAACTTGAGGAATTAAAGAACATTTAATAGTACTTAAAATAAACTCAGTAAATTATGCAAATAAGCATTCATCTATTTATGTTAACATTTTATATATGCATTTTGCATTACATTTTTACAAATTAGGTAATCATTGAAATGTTATATGTAATGATCACTTATCATTTATTCAAATATTTGAATTTTTTTATAAATAAACATGGCTCAGTACTGGAATATAGTTTCATTAATTTTAAGTTTTATGTGTGTATGTGATTTACCATA